GGTTTTTGACAGAATTATGGCCCTTTTTTTGACTTAGAAAGTGTATTGAGCTTGGTTAAGTTTTTTGTACCACCTCACTTTATTTCAAAACCATTGGAGGTATTGCTTTGAAACTGACCATACTTGTTTACCATCACGACCTTCATCAACAGACAAGAGGACATAACTCTGTCAAGGTTTTTGACAGAATTATGCCCCTTTTTGACTTAGAAAATACATTGAATATGGGTAAAATCCACTTATTGCCTTAACCCTTTGAGATATTGCTTTGAAACTTTTAATGCTATTTCACATCATTACCCCCATCTGTACGCAAGAGAAGGTAACTCTGTCAAGGATTTGTTTTAAAAATTAAGGCCTTTTATCGACTTAGAATCTTGGTTAAGTTTTTAGTACCAGTCCACTTTTTGACTGAACTGTTTGAGATATTAATTTGAAAGTTGGAATACTTGTTTACAATCATGATTCCCAAACATGTCCAGGAGAAGGTAATTCTGTCAAAGATTTTATTTGAATTATGGCCCTTAACTGTCAATGTTTTGTATTATAGGCAAGCACTAAAAAACTTAAAAAATCTAAAAAAATTCATTCCTATCCACTTGTTCACTTTACCATAAATTATGTCATAATAAAATAATTCTTCACTAAATATCTTAATGCTCATGGCCATTGTTCACTTTAAAAATACAGAGATTCTTGTATTGCCTTTTACTGCAAAAACTTTTTTTATTGGCAAGCAATAAAAAAGTCGAGCGCGCTGTCTTACGGACAGCTCTTGTTATAAATGTTCTGGCTGGGGGGGGGGGATCATGACCATAGCCCGTTCTCATGATAATACCCAATTACATCTACTCGGCCCTTTCCGTCAAACTTTGGGAGTTTCGACTGAATAAATATGTCACATTATCCATAAAGCCAGTCCGCATAGCTAAATCGGTTAGAGCGCGAGACTTGTAATCTCGACATTGCGGGTTCGATTCCCGGGCTGGCCAGCTAAAGTTACTATTCAGTCTTTCGGATGAGACTTTAAATCGACGTCACGCTAAAGAACCAGGAGAAGCTTCTGGAATCGGGGCGTCTTTCTGTATCTGTAATTGCACTATCCTCCAAAATCTAAAATGACATACTCTTCTGGAGGACTCGCCAATATGGGCAACAGGTTGCGAGTATAAATAAACGCAAATACACTCACACACAAAGAAGCACAAAGGTGTAAATATCAATTTTATATAGCTAGCGATGTCCCCTATACCGAAGATCGCATTGTGTCACGAAATATTACATAATACATGGTTTAAATTTGTTATTTCATGCTATATTCTTTTATTATAAACTGTCCAGAAAAGGAAATGACGTGACCTTGCTCACATTACATGTATTTACTTTTCATTGTCTGGAATAAATCATGATGGTACACGTTATTCGAACCTTTCAGGCTTATAATTTCGGTACCTATTGTAACCTTTCACACCATGCACTGGTTACTAAGTACAAATAAATTATTATATATTATTTTTTGTTGAAATAGATCTGAAATTAGCTCAACTAAGTTATTAGATTTTAATGATTTATTGAACTGTAATTTGTTTGGTTTTAAAGTTTTGCATTGAAATCACTTAGAAACAAGAAGTCCAAAATCACAATAGATCTATGGAAGTCATTATGTGCATCAATTATAATTGTGCTCAGTATAGAAATAACTATTGACGAGACTAATTAATACGTCATAATATAGAGAAACGTTACCACAGCCAATGAAATTGTCGGTAGTTAGAACAAACATGTATCACTAGTAAGTAAAATGTTAATGTTTAAGACGGGGAATCAATAAGATTTTACTTAAAGATTATGTATGTTGTGATCAAAGTGGTAAACCACATTAAGTGAAATTATATATATTTACATAATTTATGCAAATAAAACAATTTTCAAACATCGAAGAATATGTAAAATATGTGCTGCAGATATTTTTGCATATATGTAATCATAAAGATATATGCATTCGTTTCTTATTGTAAAGTTTGACTTAAACTTTATAGAAAATAATTTTTTTATTACCTCCCTTTATATACATGAAATGTTAAATTCGGTAATATCTTTATAACTAAAGCTTTATGGAACCTACAATATTGATAAATCTTAATTTGAGCATCATATTTATGATTTTAAACTATAAAAAAGATTGTGTTACAGGATCTTTAATATGTTCTAACTATTACATGGCTCACCTGAACAGATCAAATTAGTAGCGGTGAGTTCATTAAGCAATGTCAAGGACACTTATGCCTTAGTTTCTGAACACCTGTTTCATCAACTAACTTAGAAACTATTCACTCAAAACCTCATGCAATAGTTAACACTATAGAATTATCGAGATTTACTATACTGATTGGGGTCAGTGGGTCAATACCTTTTCTACTGATTTAGTGGTTGGTGACCACCCCGAAAATGCCTGATTTACTTATTTTCTTTGTTCAGTGGTTGTTGATCAGCCAGTCGCTTTTTTTATCAACAATAAATGCATGTTTCTTCTATAATAAAGTAATTAAATTGATTTTAGATATCTTAACAAGAACATTGATGTTGAAAATGTTGAAGTACCATAATCATTTGTAGGGTCATCGTCGGATACCCACGATTGATAAACATGTCACATAACATGCAATCAATGCATCTGATGAATGATAATGGTTCGGCCGTGGGTATCCGACGATGTTGTAGGGTAAGCAAAATAATCTCCAAAACGTCAGCATTTGTTGCTGGAAAACCATTATCTGGATTAAATGAAAGTCATACATATCTGTCAGAACACATATAGTACTGTCATGTGTACAAATTAGGCACTTTTGATACACTCCTACCTCATTTATTTCTGATGCATAGTCTTGATACTTTCATTTAATTATTAACATTATATTAGTGATTATCTGTACTATTTTCGCAGGCCTGAGAATATACCGTTTAATGTCTTTCTTTCTTTTTTCTTTCTTTCTTTCTTTCTTTCTTTCTTTCTTCCTTTCTTCCTTTCTTTCTTTCTTTCTTTCTTTCTTTCTTTCTTTCTTTCTTTCTTTCTGTCTTTCTTTCTTTCTTTCTATCTATCTATCTTTCTTTCTTTCTTTCTTTCTTTCTTTCTTTCTTTCTTTCTTTCTTTCTTTCTTTCTATCTATCTATCTTTCTTTCTTTCTTTCTTTCTTTCTTTCTTTCTTTCTTTTCTTTTCTTTTCTTTTCTTTCTTTCTTTCTTTCTTTCTTTCTTTCTTTCTTTCTTTTCTTTTCTTTTCTTTCTTTCTTTCTTTCTTTCTTTCTTCATATTATTTATTCATTCATTAATATTCATTTAATCAATTGATTGATTATTTTATTCCAGAAATAAAGTTTTGATTCTTTTAAAATGTGGTTTAAAGAAAATTGAATTTGCTCACGTTCATTTTGTATTGTTGTTAAACATTTGTTAAAGAAATTTACAAAATTCAGATATTTTACATTATCTCGCGGATTAATTTGAAGTAGTTTTAGTTCATGTGTACCGTATTTAACAATGTCCATTGACAATTTTACAGGAAATATGGATGAGTTCGTTTACAATGCCGCCAGTATTCAAACGTAGATCTGTTTTGTGTAGCTGTCGTGTATATGTCGTCTGTAATTATGATTATTGTTAAACTGAACTGTGGAACAAAGTGTCACCTTAATTCATAAGTTACGCTTGATTAATATTTCTATTAAAAATTTATCTCAAAACACACTAGGATGGGTGATTCAACAATTGATACAAATCCTTTAATTGGCTCGGGTTTTAAAAAACTTTTTCATTCAGGCCGGATGCGCTCTCAATAATTCATCCATTTTTTTATTTTACATGAATATCTATTGGATACGGTGGCACAAAGGTGACATGTGTGTATTTTTATTTATCTCGTGGCCACGAGATACTATGTCGTGGCCACATGTTACTAAGTCGTGGCCACGTGATAACTAAGTCGTGGCCACGAGATAGCTAAGTCATGGCCACGATATACTATGTCGTGGCCACGAGTTACTAAGTCGTGGCCACGAGATACTATATCGTGACCACGAGTTACTAAGTCGTGGCCACGAGATAGCTTAGTCGTGGCCACGAGATAGCTAAGTCGTGGCCACGATATAATTAACCAATCATAATACACTATATACAATGTATAATGAATTTTTAAACTTAATTAAACTTAACAACTTACTTTTACATGCAACATTAATCTTTAAAAATACTGAAGATATTCACTTTGAACTTGTCTTTAAGATCATATTAGAAAGTCGCCTTCAAAGGTCCATCAGACATTAATTTTGACTAAAGCTCTTTGTTGGGACAATTTTGTGATCGAATTGGTCAGTTTGTACGTACTACGGCCTGTTAACATTGTTTATACGATAACATGAGAAGGAATTAGTCCTGGTTTATTTTATTTTGAAGGGACATTGCCCATGGACAGTAGATAGCCTATAAGGCAAAACCCTTGTCTGAGACGCCGTGAAATAATTTAGAAGGAATAAGCCATGGTTTATATAACCCAGACAGATCATTGCACCTGATCAGTAGATGACATCTAATAATTTCTATGTCATTGGGTAAAAAATCAGGGTCACAGTGACGCTAAATATAAAATTATTGACCTGTATAAATTGCACTTTTACACACTGGTGATGTAGGGGCATCTTTGTACTATAGCACATGACTATTTAATTAGGGAAATTCATATAATTGGTTATTCATCTCGTGGCCACGACTTAGCTATCTCGTGGCCACGACTTAGTAACTCGTGGCCACGACATAAAATCTCGTGGCCACGACTTAGCTATCTAGTGGCCACGAATGAGTAACTCGTGGCCACGACATAGTATCTCGTGCGCACGAGATAAATAAAACACACACACACACATGTCACCTTTGTGCCACCGTAATTGGACTATTGGATGTGACGTAATTTCAACCCAGTCTAAGTAGCCAGTTTATTTCGCTTGTCATATTTTGTTCTACTTTTCATTGACGCACTTGAAAATAAAATAAATTTTGTCGAGAATGTTTTATTTAAGTTGATAGATATTCTTATGGATAACAAGTCAAACTTTTTAAATATATCTGCCTTTGTTTTAAATGTATAGTTCGCATAAAGTTACTTTACAAAAAATAAATAAAAGAAAAAAATATAATAATAACAACAATAACAACAACAACAGAAGACGAAAACTATAAAATATGTTTGTGTTTTTGCGAAACGTCAGCGACAGTTAACTAAACTACATGAATTAAGTGAGCAAATGTGCTATTAATTACATAATTATTCTTATGGATACAGCTAGTCTTTTCAATGACTATCAAAATAACGGGGAATTCCATATCTGGAACACGTCTTTCTCCGTGATGCAAGGTCTAATATTTGATGGTAAAACCTCATTTAAATGAATCCGCATCAAACAAACCTTACGGATGTGACAGTAGCCATCTCAAAGAAGATCGCGCACGTGTTTAATGGACGAACTACAGAGATTGTATGGAAGACAAATCGATGCGAGGGTCAGAATTGTGTATTTTAATGTTTTTTTTTTCTTGGTAATTAACTTTGGTCAACATGTTTTCAATCACTGTAACGAATGCTATATATGTTAAAATTATAAATTTTATGACTGCGCTGTTATGAATACAGCACGTATACATTTCACTGTGATATGTGAATTAATCACGTTTCTGGTTTTGATTTTAATAATTTCAATTTTTACAAATAGTTGCGTCTTCTGAGCCAATATCTATATAAAAATGGCCTGCGCAAAACCAGAGAAACATTCGTATATTAGCATGGAGAAAGGATTTAAAAATGTTAATTATTACTATTGCGAACAGTGTTTGTACAAGACAGTCCGAAAACATAACCTTAAACGACACGTTCTGAAAATGCATACAGAGTGCAGAAAAGATCTCGAATGTTGCGGGGTTGTTTTTCAGACAAAATCAAGTTTTCGAGATCATTTGACAACCCTGCATAAAAATGGATATGTGTGCTCTAAATGTCATCGCGTATTCCGAAGGAAGGCGTTACTAATGCGCCACCTAACGGTACATGGAGGAAGAAAAGAATTCCAATGTTCTACATGTAACTACGAGACAAGTCATAAAAGTAATTTATATAGACACAAGAAAGTTCATTTCAAGAATATGATAGCTTATAATAATCAAAATAAATGGTTAGATGACGGAAATAACTTTGTTTGTAGACCTGAAAGTCGTTCTGTCCATGGCTACCCAGGTGGAATCTTCCAAAATCACTTCAATTATCGTATTCCTGGAAAACCTCATTGGTTGAACAATTTACAAATGCTCAGACCTTTCTCTCTGTGTTTAGGTCCTATAGATTTAGCAGACGGTAACTTGCAGCAGACGAATATTAGCATACCTCGGTATCCAACACCTTATCCGATCGCAGGAAACAATAGTTATTTCCGAAATGGAGGAAACTTGAACCAGTTTGCTGGAATTATACCAACAACAAATGTATTCTGTCCTTTTAGAGGAAACAGGGAGAAGTGTTCGGTTTGTAATTCGAAAGTTGAAGAAAATAACTATAATATCGGTTTAGAGAATGGAAGGAATATTGTCACTGAAAATAAAGGTACAGCTGAGAAATTGGATGCATTTATGGGTGTGGGTATAGAAACCACCCCGCCTGTCAGAGAGAAGCCGTTCAGGATGTGTTATTTTCCGTATAAGTGTAACTTTTGTAGCTTGAGATTTGCCTCGCAGCACGAATTGTCTAATCACAGCACGGAGTGTGAGAACACACTTCAGTTCTGAATCACGCAATGAACTACTTATACGTTTGTACTACAAGAATTCGGAGCAATTAACATTTCTATTATTGTTGTTATCTCAATTGTCAATGATTCTGTCTCACTTTTTAATGTTGTTATTTTTTATTGTTTAATGTTGTTGTTTCGGTTTAAATGTTGTTCATTTCAAAATAATAAACAATAACAACCGAAAGCGCTCTTACATTGAGGGGACTTTGACTTTAGACCAGACATGCCCTGGTGAACCCCCCCCCCCCCCCCACTGCGGCGGACACTCTTATTATAACACCCAACCCGTCCCCACCATACAAACTTCTGGGGACAGGGAAAGTAGCAAATGACTTGTGGACTAGTACTTTATTGAATGTTTTCTCTTTTTACACTTCTCCTTAAACAAATAATCTGTCCGAGATTTTTTTATTTATGATCTTGATTTGTGGTGATATTTTCCGAAAATTAGACTTAACTCTGTCGGCCCTTCTAACCGCTATCTAACGTCGTCACCGTAGCTGGGGGAGTTTTTTTTTTTATTGCAGTCATTTTTCGAAAAAAAGGAATGTTAATTCACGTGTGGTTGAAACACACGGTAAGTTTGTTTAAGATTATTTTGGAATATATATAAATAAATATACCATCACAAATTTTGAATGTTACATTTATAGTTATATTTTCTAATTATACTAGATCACGTTAATTCTTTACTAAAGTTAAACCATTCAGTTATTGACTTCAAACAATATTGTTCTTAAAAGGTCTCTTTATAAAGGAACTACAAGACAAAATGAATCTTTCCTGACGCGAATAGTCCGTACATAAAATGTATGTTTAAAAACAACAACAACCATCACCATCATCACCACTTCTACTACAACTACTATTACACTACTATATCATCAAAAATTAAAGATACATACTATGCTCATCTTTGTTTAAAATAATTTTATCGAAGAAAGTTATTGAAATCTAGGAAATTCTCACTGACTATGTCAGTGAGAATTAGAGAATACATAAAGTATGTTTTGGAAAGCTGCATTTCCTATTACTTGTCTTGTTAATTTTGCATTTTCTAAAAAATAACTACCAGGTTTCTTTAATGACATTATGCATTAATTACCTATAAAGTATAGTGTTTAAAACGTGTCAAATATGAACAAGAGAATACATAAAGTATGTTTGGAAAGCTGCCTTTCCTATTACTTGTCTTGTTAATTTTGCATTTTCTTAAAAATAACTACCAGGTTTCTTTAGTGACATTATGCATTAATTACCTATAAAGTATAGTGTTTAAAACGTAACACATATTCTCTTTGTTGTACCTAAAGAATGTTTGTCTTACATTTTAAAAGATAATATATTGCAATTATCAGTATTTTCAAAATTAATATAAAATTTGAGCATATTTTTCAATACTATGAAACTTGAGAAACGTGCACGTCTATATATCGTAGATAAGAGGTATGCACACAAATGTCACCGATAGCGCACAAAGAAACACGGACATTTTAAACAGCGTATAGAAAGATAACGAAAATTATTAATAGTTAATCAATATTTAAGTTCAAAACATTTCCGGTATGGGGACGTCCTAAATCTATAGAGGAATATAAAGTTGTCATATTTGGATATCTATACGTTATAAAACTGGTATGATATACTTTCTTGTTTAACTTTGTGTGTGTTTTTATTTCTTATAGACTTATTAATTTAAATATTTTTATTTTTTATATTTTTTGACACAAACTCGGAAGCAAAACAAGTAATAGAAAGAGCACCGAAACACGAGGCTATCTGATTTTTACGAGGGGGCGTAGCCCCCGAGTATTAATCAGATTGCCGAGTGTTTTGGTGTTCTTTCTCTTTTGTATCATAGTCAAACATAAAAACACGTTCCCTGTTGTCACAATATGAAACCCCGGCAAAAATGAACCAATGAACGAACATCTGAATATGACATTTCTGTCGCTTTCCCTTTCTCTGCCGTCACAATATGTAAACCCCAGCAAAAATGAGCCAATCAATGGGCATGCTCTGGAGTGCGGGTAACTAATACCCGCACTCCAGTTAACGCACTGTGCATGTATATGTATACGATTTAACCCTGACACATTTTCAACAGAAAGGTCTCCAAACTATGATACAAGAGCCGTTTTTGTGTGCCGGTGTCGGGTGATAATCACACGCGTGTGGCAATTTCTGCAATACTGATAACATTGTTTTCTCCCTGGCAAATAAAACCACAGGCACGAGTATCGGACCTGGGAAGAAAAAATATGACCAGATTGAAAAAAAAACCTGTGTTCATCGTAAAAGTGTCAACCCCCCCCCCCCCCCCCCCCCCCAAAAAAAAATGTAAATAATGACCCCCTTAAAAAATATACTATAAGTTAAGAGAAGGCCGGAAACTCCAGATTTGAGCCTACGAGCAAGGGATTCATTTCCTGGGCCGTTGTGAAAACAATTGGCCAGAGAATTAAATAAAACTTTTATCACTATTTCACGTTTATATAAAGCTTCAAAATGAGACCAACCCCAAGTCTCTAGCCCTTCCCAATCATGAAATATCTATCAGGAAACGAGCGAATTCGTGCTAAAAATCCTTGGTAGACAGAATTGCGGCACAACAATTCGGTACGTAAACATAGACTAATACATGTATGTCAGCTGAGTACGGGTCAAAATTACTTGAATTTACTAAATAATATAACTAAATACATTAAGTTGGACCACTCACAATTGTCAGGAGCATCTGATACACGCAAAATTCGAATTTCAAACCTTTCCACGGTCTTTAGATTCCTTTCTACGCCATTATCAATCAGCTGTTCGATATTTTGTAACGAGTCTTCTGATTGGCCAATAGCAACGAAAACCGCAACGTTTCACACAAGGATGCCTAATGGCGTAGAAAGTGATTGAAAGACCGTGAAAATGTTTGAAACTCGAATCTCGTGTGTATTAGATGCTCCTGACAATTGTGAGTGGTCCAACTTAATGTATTTAGTAATATTATATATATGATACTCGTGCCTGTGAATAAAACTTGTGACAATAAATTTGTTTGTAGATTGACAATATTTACACATGCTGATCCTGTTCGTTATGATGTAGTTATTTATGCTTGATTGCGACAAACTCGGTTATTTTTCCCCCTTAAACTGATTATTTTAAAGATGGCACTGTCATCATAACAACTCAGCTATATCTTCACTATAATTATTATGCTCAATATATGGTTTAAAGTCTATCATTCTACTCTGCTTTAATATGTATAGTAGAATGGTCTACAGTTGTCACATTTTCCATAAGTACATAATAAAAACTAAAGAAATGTATCCTGGAAAAAATGTTGATAAGGTTTTTAGTTATTTAGTATGAACATTTTATGATGAATCATAACATTATGTTCTAACTGCTGTATAAAGCTATGTTATATCGGAATATGTAGCCAGTAATATCATTTTTGTTATTTGATACAGGTGACTTCGATCTAACAAGTTAAAACGATGAATATAGGTATGTTTGATGTCAATATTTCAGATTTTATTAAATAAAGTCTAGCAATTTGTAAAGTCAACATTACGCTTTAATACATAATTATGTATAATACTTAAACAAAGAGACCCTTTGCATTTCTTAAACAAGATGTTAATTCCATCCATCTATTTGTTCTCTAGAAGTTAATAGAGACGTATGACCTTTTATTTTGAATATATCGTTTTGGCGCAAGGACATTTTAAAGGCAAATATTTTGTTATGATCATACAAGATCATAAACTATATATTATATCGCGACCAAACGTATTGTGGTTGTGAACCAAATCGACTGTTTTTCCGTGACTTCACAGTGTAAAAGCAAAAATCAACTGACAGTTAACATCAAGTGCCTTCAGTAAATGCTTTAAACAATTACTAACTTGAAAATAAATACACACAATAAACATGTATATTTACATAACCACTTACCCGTTTTCATTTGCCTTGAACGTCACCATTCTGTCGAAACAAATAATTTATTGGTACGAGTATAACAAAAATCAAAGGGCTGCAAGCTCTGTGGTATTTTCTGATCTTTGCAATCTAAATCGTACTGTAAATATGTATGTGTTTTCCTGTATAAGTTTATTTTTATGTACTATAAGTCATCTTGCAGGGCACCAGAGTTTGATACATACGGAATTTTGCATAACTAGAGTTGCATCAAAAAATAATTTATGCTCATTTTTTATGATAGCCACACTTAATCCTTGCATATCGTGGCTATTTCCTTAACAAAGACACTAAAAAAAAGAATTAAAAAAATGTTGACTCGACTGGGATTTGAACTCCAGACCTCTCACACACCAAACGAGCGCGTTTAGATTTACTGATCAGTGTAGATCTTTCAACACAGTAAAAAAAATGTGTATATGTACTTCGATGCATGCTACATTTCGTAGCTCGCGTACACCTAATTCGCTAAAGACAGCACAGTACAGATTTCCAGAGCACTATCATTTTACAAGAATGAAGGTTTTTAGAATCCTGCAGTTCTAATCAATATTTGAGCCGCACCATGACAAAACCAACATAACGGGTTTGCGACAAGCATGGATCCAGACCAGCCTGCGCATCCGTGCAGTCTGATCAGGATCCATGCTGTTCGCTATCAGTTTCTCTACTTGTTATAGGGTTTGTAAGCGAACAGCATGGATCCTGATAAGACTGCGCGGATGCGCAGGCTGGTCTGGATCCATGCTGGTCGCAAACCCATTATGTTGTTTTTGTCATGGCGCGGCTCAGTTTTCATATTTATAATTTCAGATGATACGTTGACGATTTTGATTGCCGTATTTAGTACTGTCATTTTCTGTGGCATCTGTATACTTAGTGCAGTTATTATACATAGGTGGTAGGTATGCCTTATTAACCCCCCTTTCTCGTTGCAATGTTCAGTTGTACCCTTTTCATTTAATAAGGTTAATTAATATCTATTCCCATAGTGTTTTTTTTCGAACTGAGATAAGTAAAGTATCCATTTACTGTAATAAGCTAAGTAAACTATTTCCGTAATCATTTTAAGTGATTTTGATATTTATTACCGTAATAAATGAAGATACATTAGTTAGTAATACTGTGTCGAAACACATCAAGGCCCAATGATCGCAAAAGATGATACAGTTTGAATTGTTTAGCAATTCAATGATCGGAAGTAAAAGGTTCTTGTTCTCGCAATAACCGATACCAGGGCGTGAAGCGGTTGCACACTTGGTTCAAGCGAAAAGGAAATTGGTTGCAAAAGGAAATTGGTTGCAAACTTAACAAAATATCTACTATCTACAGAGCCATGAATATTTAGAACATTCGCACTATTTCCTCCGGGTAAGTGGGTTTGTATGTTATTTTGAAAAAAATATGTCCATTCCATAATGTTGTTAACACACGCGGTTTTGGGTTTCAGCTTCCTAGCTTCTAATTTGACGTAGTTATTAAAGATATTAACTGGTCATGTACATATTTTTGCGATTTGACAGGTGACAATTCTGGTCGGATTTTCTGCTAATTTATTCGCATCTTTAAGTTTTGAATTTCACCAAACAAGACAAGAAATATGTTTCTGTCAATACAGTGTAAATGTTTTAATTTGCATGTTCGTCAAATCAGAAGCTGGAAAGCTGAACCCTAAAACCGAGTGTGTCATAAACCTTGCTTTAAAGAATGGACATATTAAAGGTTTTCAAAATAACATACTGAAGAAAATACGTGTGAGCGTTGTAAATATTCATTCGGTAGCCATTTTGTCAAGATTGCAACCAATTTTCGTTTCGCTTGAACCAAGTGTGCAACCATTTCACGTCCTGTCCCTTGCATATACACATTGAATTATTTAGGCTTTCTCGAAATGATACAGTTATTACGTTTCAATACAGATATTAAATTAGCAACATTATTTTCAGTAATGATTTAAGTATCTCCTTTTCATGTGCTAAGCTTATAGATATTAATTTACCGTAATATTATATTATATTATGTCATGTATTGTCATGTCATATCATATCATATCATATCATATCATATCAAATCATATTCACATCACATCACATCACATCATATAATATTACTGTTCTCTTCTCAGTTGCTGTTACAAGTCCAGAGGACGAAATGAAAGCGAGGCTATTCCCATGCCATCAATCATCCCCAGTGATAATTTAGATAACGTATGTACAAGTGGTGATACTGAACAAAATGAAAACATCAACAATATATTATCAGAACAAATTTTCCATATACAAGAAGACCATCCCCGCCCCGAGCCGTCGGCACCACCCCTACCACCGGAATATTATATAGAATATACTTGAGGCCGGTTGTTGTTTTATCCAGTGTGTGGCTAGTGAATATTTTAGATAAATATGTCTTTCAACATGATATATCTTATTGAATAAGAAACATATACATGTACATGACAGTGATTAACAACGAACACCGCTATTTCGACATGGATACCCATACAGACGCCTTCATGTCCCTGTCTTCCACTATTTCCGAGATGTAATGATAGCAACAAATACAATAAAATTATCTATGTTTGTTAATCAAATATCTTGAGAGTGATTTTGAAGAACTATCATTTTTGTACTTAATTGATCAACTCTGAAGTTATACGTTCCATTTAAACATTAAATTATTTTAGTCGCTCTGTATCATGTGTATGTTATGTACAGAAATCTACGTATTTTTCTGCCGCGGTATATAGCAAATGCATTCTTATTTCTCGATTTCTTGTTAAGCTTACACGTTTATACATTACGACATTCCCCTTGTTACAAAGAAATTGTTCGAAAAAAAAACCCATAAAACCCGTAGCTAATACATGTACTAAATTTTTGTTTCCATGACGTTATTTCTATTGTTCCGTTTGCAATAAATTCGATGATGATTTTTGTTCATTAACATACCAGAAACCATAATTAAAACTAAGACAAAATTATACATGGTTTATACATTTGTACATATAGACTTTATTGTTATTTATTTTGATGATGCCTTTGATGTTTGTTGTTGTTGATGTTAAAGGTATTTTTTTCTTTGGTTTGTTTTGTTAATTCTTTACCTGGATTTCATAGAAACCAGCCTCATTGCTGAAAACCCCATACCTTTGGTAGAAGTAGACCTTGTATTACCTTTCTCGTGCATTATTGCACGCACGACCGGAACAGTAAGTGGAATCCTCCACCTTTCAAAATTAAGTTACCTAAGATATAGCTTTTATTATCCTTATCCAGTCCATCGCCTACATCTGTAAATAAACCTATTGTACATGGTATCATCATTGTATCTTTAGAAGATTGTTATCTCTATATTGAAATAGTGTGATTGTCTTATTCATGGTGCAAGGTCCACAGTAGCTGTTTAGGAAAATTAAATATGTAAGAAAAGAAAACGTTTTGAGTCCAGCCAGACTCCGCCTGTAAATATGACATAATAATGTCACTACATGTATTTAGTTTTTGAAAGAATCTCTAGAGGAAACATTAGATTCGTTAGAGTTAGATAGACCACCTGATTATTCAACATTTTTACCCGGAATTTACCTTAAGAGAAAGAATATCAAATAGTTATTAAAAAAACGTTTAAACAATGTTCAAAGATCACAGATAAATATTGTAGGTTGATATTTTATCACAGGGTTAAAATACAAAGAAGCACATGGTATATGGAATAAAGGATAGAACTAAACGATGTGACGTCCAGTTACTCTTTCTGAAGCGTACGAATGCCCTCACTCACATGCTAGGGCTCTAAATTTTCCCTTAAAGTTACATTATACCTCAGAAACGAATGAATTTTCCTTTCTTCGGAAAGGGCCAAAATAAGTTTAATAGCATTTAAATGTTTTAACGTATATAAGATAATTGTCACCTGAAGGAATTTGCGCTGGTTTTATTTTTCATAAAAGTAGCAAAATTTAAACAAAGTGGTATTTTTGATATTTTGACATCCATACAAAATACTTAACAACTCTAACTATAGTAATTGCCGAAAAACAATAGAAGCAAAATATGGTTCAGGTAATTGCCTAATTGTCCAATGTGTAACTTTTTGGAAACTATATTATGACACCAAAAATAAAAAGCTTTTGTTAATTTTCTTACTTTATAGCTGTCTATTAACATTAACAAATGATATCTAACTTAATCTGAGGAGGAGTGAGTATTAGCAACCCCTCAAAAAAGAAATACTCCGGACATTTTATATATTTTATTGCTTGTTTAGTTCATTTGATTGCCGTTAAACACTCGCTGGACTATGTTGTATATTACAACTGGCTGATACATGTACAACATATTTATTTACACCATAAATATAAATAAACGTTTGAACTAATTGATGTTCTAATACCAGAAGCCAATTAAATCCATATTAAATGCATTTCGTACCACATATAGTATAGATACCAAATTCAATGTCCAAAATATCTATATCAAATACATATCGTACTACATTTAGCCTCATTTTCATTTCAGGGAAAAATCATAATATTCTTTTTGTATTTATGTTTTGTCAAAATGTCATGAAATGTGAAATAAAGAGGTCATCAAAACTTGTTGGGAACGCCTCGTCAAATATATGATTGACAGCTGTGTTTTCGGTGTTGTGCTCAGTAATGTATATAATAACCTAATATTATCACATATTGTGGCTTGTTTTCAATGTAATTCAATCATTTATATACATATATAATATGATAAAAAACATATTTCATTTTATTTCACACAAATGTAACCAATGTATTTACAATGTGATCTCCCAATTTTAATCGTAATTAATTTTGTCCAATTTTATTTTGAAAGGTCAAATAGTCCATATCAAATCATTACTGTTCTCCGTCTAGCCTAGTTTGCTTTTATTAGGCCAAAAAAATGATATCAAATCCTTACGGCTCTCGAAGTTCTGTATAAACCTAAAAAATGGTGATGTGAAATAAAGATGCATTTATATACTGTTGTGTACAAAAATATTGATTTTTTTGGATAATACACAGCTGTCCAACCTATATTGAACGAGTCTAATATAGGTTTTGCAGCTGTAAAAAGTCAAATTGAATCAATATTGTACTCAACAATATGATAACCTTATAATACATGTATATCATATTTGCATTTTATGTAAAAGAGAAGCCGGAAAATCAGAAATTTTTGCCATTTTTACGTCCTAAAAATCTAATATTTGTTGTTACTAATATGCATGTGCTTGAAGACTTGAGGAACTCTAAATGAACCTGCACATCGTTCATTATGGTTAAGGCGACTCACTGTGATTGGGAAAATATTCAAAAATATATACTGACTGTACAGACAGTATAGATGTCTAACCAGCTGCCGCCACCAGACTGAGCGTTAATATGTTTATTACTTTCTGTTAATGTACATAACAGGCTATTTTTCTTAAAGTTTGTTTGGTTAAATAATGCAATTGCAATAAATTGTTAAAATTCATCTTTATTTACCAATAGCAACAACAATAACAACAGCAACACAGAATATGTTGATGACATATATATATAGATTATCATGTTTAATCTATCACGGGTGTATCACCTGCTTATTTAAGCAAGGGCTTGTATTTTATAAACCTCTAAGTGTCTTGTATTGGTGTTCGAATTGAGTAAGCAACATTCGAGTTAATAGTCAGTTTGATCGTTATATCACAATGAAATACAATATTTAAAAGAAATGTTCGAAGGCCTTCAAACAATGAACACACACACGCGCACGCACGCATGCGCACACAAACATATACACCATAAATATAGCTTCAATAACAAAAAACATACGTCTGCCATGTAAACTTTAAGCAGTTACTACCAAATTATCATATCACAGAAACGGAAAAAGATAATACAGCAATGCTTAAATTAAAGATTTCTTAATTGGAAAGAAAAGCACCAAATGTTTGATTTACATTTTAATTGTCTCTTTTGAACTCTGATTTACATATATCTTCGGAACTTTGGAGGAGGGGGTGTCTTCATGTCTGGCGTTGGAACTGCAAACACATTTGCTGCTCGATTTTCTTTAAATTTTTTCAGCATGTCCGCCAACGTGACTGCCGATGGTTTCTTGTTTGTTACTTGTCCATTTAGCATAGGTGGAGCCGGTACATCTAAGTCACGCCTAGAATGTAAATTTGCATCCAAAGCCGGTGGTGCAAGTTCTACATCTTTTAACATCGGCGGTGGACCATTGTTATTCAATGATGGCGGTGGTCCGTCACGTGTCATTGGCGGTGCATCTCCGTCTATTAGCGGCGGTGGAATGTCTCCGATCATTGGTGGTGCACCGTCATTTGTCATTGGTACTTCAGCATTACGTAACATTGATGGTGGGCCGTCTCCAATCATTGGTGGTGGGCCGTCTCCAATCATTGGTGGTGGGCCGTCTCCAATCATTGGTGGTGGGCCGTCTCCAATCATTGGTGGTGGTCCGTCTCCAATCATTGGTGGTGCATTTTCATGTCTGCTTTCACTTTGAAAACTTCTATCGTCTAGTAGCTCCTTTAAAGGTTTTGGAGTGGTGGGCATGTCATCATCAAAGTCACAGTGTCGCGACTCCTGTTTGTACGTGTCCAGTAACGGTGGAGGCTCCATATTGCGGGCAGCAAGCCAAAACACATACAGATCCTTACACATGCTAGCAATTTTTGGACCTGCTTTGTTCCTCAGTGAGGCCAAGTCTGTGTTTTTGTTTACCTTTTCACAAGGCTGAAATATGAATTAAAACAAATTAGTAAAGCAATCAACGTCCAATTATTAATATATCCGTTATAATGCATCAATTAATCTGTAAAAAACAACCAACATTTTTTAAAGTTTTAAAGGGTTTGCCCGACTTTCCCCCTTTGAAAAAGCACTTCAGTGTAGCTTTATGTTTAAAAGTAAAAAAAAAAGATAATCACTTGATGATATTGTAAGTAACTATTGGTCATGAATCAAATAGATGAATCAAATGCACAACAGAAAACTAATTCAAATATTATTAAATACTATTATATACGTATGTATATACCCTGTAATACCACCAAAACACTGTTATAAAGAATAACAAATGGTATGTAAATACTAACCTGACTACTCATAATGTAACTTTTATCAGATGGGGCCGGTAACCAGAGTGGGTCATAGTCGTTTACAAAACAGGAAACCAGTTTTTTGTCTTTAAGGGCGGTTAAACCCTGAAAATAAAAACACAGATAAACATGTACATGTATCTGACGATTGTGCCACATAAATACAAGTTGAATCAACGGAAAACAATAACAAGAATTATAAACAAGGAATAAAAATACAACATCTAAGTTTCTTTCAACGACAAAACATATATTCAGGAAAAACAATGCATTCCTTGTCTGCCGCTATAAATGGGAAAAGGGGAAAATACTTAGTTGAAGGCAGATAGTCCATAATGCTTAGTGCAGGACAGAGTTGGTTGGCGGACCAAGGTGGAAGCCTTAAGTCTGACCTAACACGAAGCGGATGTATGTATGTAGGTAGGTAGGTAGGTAGGCAGGCAGGCAGGCAGGCACGCACGCACGCACACACACACACACACGCACGCACGTGACAATATAGAGCCACTAAAGACAAGATTTCCTAGATTTAAAATGTTTTGACAATATTCAGTTATTAAGTTAGTTCTGTCTTTTCTGTGGCAAAGACAATATGCATGATTCTGTCCTACATGTTTTTATCTTTGTGTTACTTGTGAGGCGGAAACATGACCGAACATTATGGGATTTCACGTTTATTCATAAGGAAGACCAGATCTAGTTTATCTAGTAAGCTAGTATCACAGCATTTTACGTACACAAACGTTATAGGGTATAAATCTATATCTTATAAATATTTAAATAAAATTTATCAACAGTAAAATAATATTGGTTCTATTATTATATGGTTGATTCCCAAAAGGTTATAATGTAGAACGTCTCTGTTATTAAATACACATGAATAATGTACGTAAACAGAAAAAAAAAATGTTTTGGAACAAAATATTATTTTGCTATTCTAAGCAGGGTTTTATTCGTTTAGCAATGATTTTGCGCTTGCGCCATACGCTTTTAAGGCAATGAATTACCATATTTATTTCATACAAGCATTTTGGAAGTATACTTTTTTTAAATTTCAAACAATAATTTTTGCATCAGGTATATAGACTTATACACGTTAAGTTATAATTGGATAAAATGATAATTACGCATATGTTCTAACAATAATTAGCCATTAGTATTCTTTATTGTACTGATTTATAATTGACATAGGAACAATTTTGTTTAATTCCATCTAAACTTGGAACGTATTGCGAACAAATTGAATGTTCGTAGAAAATTAATCTCCGGGTGACCTTATGGCACATGCTTCCAGACGAAATTATTTAAATTTTTAGAAAATATCATATTTATATGAATGTATTATTCGCTAACTGCATAAATTAAATTTAATAACGCTTTGTCAGCACGATCCAATATTGCCATAACTCTTTGTCATATTGTATTGAGAAGTTGAACATTGTCCTTGAACATTAAAATGACTCCAAATGATGGGACAGGAAATATTTTTTGAGAGTAATGTTCAATTTGATGTATGTGTAGACCAATAAATTGTATACAAAACCTACACCGTTTTTAGAGAATAATTATTCTAATTGTGAAAAAAGACCCCCCCCCCCCAAAAAAAAAAAAAAAAAAAAAAAAAAAAAAAAAAAAAAAAAAAAAACTGATGTGTTGAAACGCTTTTTATCAAACCGGACTTAGAATAGCAAAAGTACTTTTTTCAATTCATTTCCGAGGACAAGTATATTTCTTAATCATCTTTAGCAATTCTTTCGGTTTGAATGCCCAAGTTGATCTGTGTAAAAAAATAAAGTTTATGTTTTGGGGTTTTGGACATCAGTGCAGTTCATTTAATATTTCCAACCAATATTATACATAGCGGTATTTTTATATTTGAATTATCACTGTCAAAAATATAACTTACAACAACTGGATCATTTAGGCGATATTCATCTTGACTGTCGTATATTTCCGCCAACTCTAAAAGCTCGGGTTCATGCACTGTGCGCGAGGTTACAAGAGACCAACCCTGTGCTTGACGAATAACCTGAAATAAATGTTACAAATGCTTATGTACACGGTAATATTTTTTTTAACATATTTTACATCGCGCAAAGTCAAATTATACACAATTAGTGTAAATATTTGACTATGTGTATAGAACCTTCTTAAAAAAAGAAAATCCTAGTATCAAAGAGAAACAAAAACGATTACAGTTCGGTGGGTTTGTCCCTGAAGTAAAATCTCGGCATCAATGTTTACTGATGAATATATGAAATCAAGCTTTCAGTCGTAAACTTTTATTAATTCAAACAAATCTCTATTTCTCCGTTCTATAATGAATAACCAAAGCAAAATTATGAAATTATAAATATTTTCGAAAAATTACAGATATGAAATGATATAGTAAACAGTTTGTATTATTTATATATACTTACAAGTAATAAACAAGCAAAAACTATTCTCAACATGTTTTGTTTTCTTCTGTCGTATATTTATTTCCAAATAACTTTCTTCTTTCAACAAATTTTCTTTATGGCCTAACTGGGCAAGAGTTGAACATTTATATACACAAATCGGCAAGAGAACGCTCACGTTTTGCGTTCTTTTTTAGTCGACCAAATTTAGAAATAGAGTACATTTGAACATTACTCATATTCTAGATCGAGCATCTATTGAAATTGTCAGCACGAATGTTTTGTTAGTGTTTCCAAATATCTCAATGTTTATTTTAAACTGTTAAATGTTTGATTCGTTTCCTTAATCCATCATTCATATCAGCTTTGTAAACGCAATTTACAGTTTCTAAATCAGTGTATTGAATGGACAAATGACAAGCCTGTGAAACAAATAAAGATAATGTTATCTTGAAGGTATTGAATATATGTACCTCCTAGGTCTCAAAATAATTTGACTTCCAATTACTTTCACTTAAATGTTTATGAGGTAAGAAAGACATCAAAGGATTTAATGCACTATATTTTTCCATTTTAAGGTCAAGTTTAAATCAATTAATTTTAATCACTTAACTGCATACCATTTTTTCTATTATTCGAATGATTTATTTAAATTCAGCCAGAATAAAAAACACCATACTTTGTCAATGTTACTGTATATTAAAAACACATCACTTTGTACTGATAAGAAAGATCGATGGTTGAAATGACCTAGTCTTCATTTATACTGATAAAAGCAAATGGTCAATCTAAACATTAAAAACTCGTATTCGAAAAAAACCATAATCTGAAATACTCTTATTTTCTGTTGTGCATTTTAATTTTTGCACGAGAAGAACAAAATTGTGTTGTTTTTTCCATAAGTGGTAATAAATATTCTTACTAAAAGAGTAACGAGAAGTTGGCACTGACATCGAAGATCAAAATTGAGTTTATAGTGAATATCTAGCTAGCTTTGAATGTCGAGCTACATGTAGCTCAACGTACATCAAAGCTACATTTCGAGCTGGGTAACTCGACACATTGTGATATAATGAAAAATGACTCGCCGTTTCAGTATCAGGTTTATTCAATTTATTGTTCCCCTTGCAGAGTAAATAGGAGAGGCGACACATATTGTGCCCTCATTGTGAAAAGGAGGAGAAATAGATGCAATCATTGTTTTAACAATTTAAAATTTTTACAATTTAATGAGCGTTTGTAAAATTACATTTGTGAAGAAACCAAAGTTTAAGTTATTTAAAGCAATGTGCTACGTTTCAAATGACGTCATGCAGTGGGAGAGAGGGGGGGGGGGGGACGGGGTTAGTTATATACAAACAAAATGGAGGGGAATACTTGATAAGTGGAACATTGATATGATGCTTTCTAAGTGTTTTTTTAATGGAAATAGATTTCTATTTCGATTTAGACAAATTAGATAAACAATAAAATAGGGAAAATCGGTATCTCAAAGGAACGCCACTAACTACAAAAGTGGTTTTCTCTATTTTATCGCCACATCAGCGTTGTTTGTGTCGTGTGGAGGCTGTAAAAAGTCGCCCCGTACATTCAATCAGAGATGTTATATTTCCGATCCTTGAAGATCGTTCAGCACGACATAATTGTTGTGCTTGTGGTAATTTAGTTCTTTCGGCTTTTTTCTTGTTGGGTGGTTCCAGTATTCCTTACTTGAATACTGTTGAATCACCCTTAGGATAAGTGGCCTGCTTTTTTAATTTGTCTTTTGACGTCTTATCTGTGATATGCAGGCTACATAACCTCTGATCCCCTTTCAAAATTCCATTTTATTTAGTTCCACCCATTGTTTTCTCGTTTATGGCACACTCATTTTTTTACTTGGGGACCATATGCCGCTTTTCATGGAATGGCACTTATGTGTCACATTGAAGGTTCCATGATAACCGCCATTTGAACACATCTGCGGATGTTTCAAAATTCAGAATTGTACCAGTTCATGTTAAATGTTGAATTCTGCTTGAGCCGGTGCTAGGGGGCGTGGACGGTAGTTTGCACTTGACAGTACCGTCCATGAACAGGCTCAATCAAACCGAGCCGGCGACATTTTCTATTTTGCCGTGTTGGGCTTTCTTTAGGGATTCTTATTTTCTCTATTTTATGTCTAAACTAAAATCATGAGTGTATTTGGTATTTATGCCTAAACTAAAATCATGAGTATACACAGTATTTATGCTTAAACTAAAATCATGAGTATACACAGTATTTATGCTTAAACTAAAATCATGAGTATACACAGTATTTATGCTTAAACTAAAATCATGAGTATACACAGTATTTATGCTTAAACTAAAATCATGAGTATACACAGTATTTATGCTTAAACTAAAATCATGAGTATACACAGTATTTATGCTTAAACTAAAATCATGAGTATACACAGTTTTTATGCCTAAACTAAAATCATGAGTATACACAGTTTTTATGCTTAAACTTAAATCACGAGTGTGCACATGTATTTATGCTTAAACTAATACCATGAGTATCGCACGTTTTAACAGTTTGTAAAAAGTACATTTTGTAATATATCTCATTTTTTTCTCAACTAGTAAATATTCCATTGATTTAAACATATTTATACACAAAAGTATATATAATGTACATACAAATAAACAACAAACAAAATATTTTTACATATTGGAAAAGGGTGAGAATGAAAGACAAGTCTTTTAGAATTCATCTCCTTTGGCGACTTAAATAAGTTGATAGGATATACTAGACAAGGGAATAATTATAAATTATACACACATATAAATATATATATTTAAACTTATATAGATTTACAATTTTACAAGTAGAAAATAAAATGTCTAAAATAACAGAATATATATAAAAGAAGAAAACGAACTAGTGGGAAAAACGGAGAGGATTATAGCCTCATTAAGAATGAATCTAAATAAATCTTTTCGTTTTTTCTATATAATTTGTTCATGTGTAAATATTATTACGTTGTCATGGGTCATCATAGTGGTATGTATAAGAGATGGGTCATCATAGAGAAGTTTCTGAAGGTTTATGTTGAAGTCTTGCTAGTTAAGGAGGAGGGTTCTGCGGACGGCATCGTATACACAGTACTCGAAAAAGAAATATTAGTTTCAATTTGACCACAATTACATAAAGGGGTAAGAGAAATGTTTTTCAAAAAAAGGTGGTGATTTAAAGCGCTTCATTTCGTTCGAAGCCGTGTTTGAAGGACCTGCACTTTACGACTGCCTGTATTTTGGTGAATGTTTCCCGTCCTTGATTAAGGACAATGTAGGGTTGTTCCGTATGGTGGCTGATTTACGCCATGACGTTTTTTCGCTTCTTCGCCTCAAAATAGGAAAATGCGAAGACACGAAGGGACGACAAAGTTGGAATTTTGTCGTCTCTTCGTGTTTTTGCTTTTTCGCATTTTCGAGGCAACAAAGCGAAAATACGACAGAAGGATGGCGAAAATACGACACATAAAATCTGTCGTATATTCGCATTCCATCTGTCGTATTTTCGCTCTTTCGCGTACAAAAATGCGAAAACACAAAGAGACGAGAAAGTATCACTTTGTCGTCTTTTCGCATTTTAGCCTTTTCACATAGTTACATTTTCGCATTGTTACATTTTCGCTTTTTCGCATTGGTACATTTTCGCATTGAGCATTTCATTTTCGCTTTTTCGCATTGTTACATTTTTGTATGGAATGCCGGTAGGGACATGCCACTTTGCTTATTTGCCAACTACTTAATTGCTTATTTGCTAATTGCTGATTTGCCAATTTGCTTATTTGCTGATTTGCCAATTTGCTTATTTGCTAATTGCTTATTTGCTTATAAAGTATATATAAATTTTTTATGCTATTGTCAGGCGAACACGTACCGACTCGCGAAGTTCTTGTTTTGAATATAACATAACAAGTCTTTTGTAGACTTTATTTCAAGCTCATGAACATATATCATGTTTTTATGTTTATAAAGTTTTGTTAATTATAACTTGTGACAATTATGATCAATCCATCATTACATAGAATATAGGTAGAAAGACAGATGGATACATTTAATCAATTTCCGAAAAAAAATAAATTCAGTTTCAGAAAGTAGTTTTTTTTTAATTATCTTGAGTTTCAGTTTTAGCTCCATTATTCAGAGAATAGGGATGCTGTTCTCTACCCACCAATGCATTGGTTTTCTTTGGTAACTTGTTTTTTTTTTCTGTCATATCTCTGTTACCTTTGCTTAATTCATACATCTTACTGCAACTTTGCATACACTTTGCGTTTTACAAGCATGCATACAAAAGTACATGCACATGAAGAAGCTGTGCCCGTTATATACTGAATGTCAAGGGGGTCACAAATGTATTGTACTGAGAAGCCTTTGTTTTTCTGTCATATCTCTGTTACTTTTTGCTTAAATCTAACTGTAACTTCACATAAGCATTAAATAGGCAGCATGAATACACAAATATTAAAAAAGGCTTTGTCCATTAAACCCTAGGTCATGATCATGGTCATGGTCACCTGATAGCATGTAAAAGTACAACATGAAGAAATGGAAAAGTGTGACCAAATTTCAAAAACATTGAACCAAAGCAAAATGTTGATGCACAAACAGACATAAGTGATCTTAAAATCTTACAGAGCTAAAAACGCAGCCTATTGCTTAAGTGCAAAGACAAACATCCGTGTTAAACATGAACCAAATGTATCATTTGTGATACTATGTGTTCGTACCACTAAATGAGGCCCTCTGCGACAAAATCTGCTGAGAATAACGACATTTTATATGCTGCATAAAAAAAAGAAATAGTTTTGTTTTCAAGTTCTTTTATTTTCAATCTTTACCCCAATAATTTTCACATATATGACTTATCAAGTGTTTATTATGCCATCAATCTCTGACTTAAGCTGCACAAACAGATCTATAGCTGCAACACATTATTAGGCTTGCTCAAGCACAGATGCTGGCGGGTCAGATCCTGCCCCTAACGTGATACGCGTCTGTAAAACACTATATCAAAATTATTTTAATATTTATTAAATACGAATTGGACATTTGTTACAACGATAAAACCATTAAGTTACTTTAATTGAGACTTAATTGGTGGTATATGGTATTTTTTCATACCGGTATATGTAAAATTGCTTGA